GTTAATGTGCCGGATCGATGCCAGTCTACAAGTTGAATTGTACTCCCCGGGATTGTGCTTGGGGATCAACGACATACTACTCAATCGATTGTGCTTGAACAAGGACGTAGTGTTCCGTGACGACGTAGCTCTGCACCAACGCCTCGCAAAAAAGAAAAGAAAATGCATGCCAGCAAGAGACACAGGAGGTTATGGGTCACAACCTGACATGTGGGGTGTTAGTTATGTGGGGACTACACGTCAGGTTGTGTATTGGCTTTGAGTAGGCTATATTATTATTTTTCATACGATCCAAATTGGATCGGGCTCTACTATCATCTATATCTACTAGATAACCCGTCCCATGGCGCAAAGACCGAGAACAAGCTAGTTATTGAAAAAGTGTGCATCAAAATATGTAGACACAGAAAGAAACATATGAAAATAAATACGGGTTGATGATAGATAGATGACTGCTGATCATAAATGTTTTCTAAGAAGCACCAAATAGCACTGGCGTTTGGCCCAGCCCAAATACATTTAAGCCCAATACACCGACCAACTCCCACGCACGCTCGTCTCTCCTCCTTTCCCCCAACCAGACCTTATCTGTTCTCCTCCTTTCCGCAAATCAACCCACATCTTTCACAGTTTCACTCGCTTCTCGCTGTTGCCAACTGTTGGCCGCCGGCCTTGCCAACTCTCGCTGCCCACCACAGCTAGGGCCCTCCAAGCCGCCACGCCGGGTGCCGGGTGTCTGCTGGTTTTGGCTGCTGGCTGCTGCCGCTTCTCCTCTCGCTGCCTTCTCCGCTCGTGCTACCTGCTGCCGTGCTGCGGACCACTGTTGCTGCCGCCGGCTCATAAACTAATCGGTGAACTGTTGTTGAAGCGCCGAAGGAGCAAGACTGCTGCAAGAGCAAGGTATGTTTCGAAAATAATTAAAGAAGAATGATTCAATGATGTTCTTCAGACTTGCATAAAGTTTTGATTGCCATGTAATTTTTGAAGTTACTATCCGCGTCAGCCATGTATTGTGCCAACTTTTGATAGACTAAGCATCCATGATTTTTGTGCTATATACGTCAGTAATGAAGTACAGTTTCAGATCCATCATTCATTCATGCGTTTTGGGCTATGCCTTTTTTAGTAGACAGTCGGCCATCTTCTGATTCAGAAAAGAGGTGACAATGTTTTTTGAATTTTTGGCTCAGGTGACACTGGTGAAACAGAAAACCATGGTCCAGGAGAGCATATCTGTAGTTATTGGTTGTAGGCGTCTTTTGGTCAGTCCGGTGTATTCCACAGTTGTGGCTATGGAGCATTTTTGGCCAGTTCCGTGTATTCTACGGTTGTGGCTATGGAGCACTGGATAATAGTAATTATCCACAATAGCAGGTATGTTGGTGTTACCATGTATCTGTGTAAACATAAATAGTGAGCATTGGATAATAGTAGTAATTATATGTTATAACATTGTTAGCTGCATCTATTTTTGTGCACATTTTGCTTTGTATTCGAAACTGCCAGATAGGACAAATAAACTATACGTAGTACATGTACATATGAACTGAATTACACCGGGCATCCTGAAGCCAGCGGGTAAAAACAATGGAACAACCTGGAAGCAAGAATGCAGCACATGCAAAAACATATAATAATGAAGGTGTATAAAACATAGCTGTTTTTGGCAAAAAGAATCAATTCTTTCTAGTGCCTTAATTCTGGGGCTACACATTTGCAGCTCTTACAACTTATCTGCGATAATCTGTCAAAGTACTGCATGCATCAAACATTTGCTAGGATAGCTGAAAGCTGAAACTATCCGGCACAAGGACCATCTAATTTTCCAAGGCTGTTAGTCACTATGTGTGAACAAGGCCCTCAAAACTCTACCCGAGCAAACACGACGTTCCATCTCCGAATAGAAAGTGAGGCACCCAGCAAAAACTCCCTTTGCAGAGACAACGCCACATCCTTAAGTTAGTTCTACACCCTTCATCAGCATGAAGAAAGAACGTATGAAAGCAGAAATTAACAGCAGTCACAAGCAATAATCAACGGCAAGCAACACCAGGTAAAGACATGAAACGACACAATGCATGGAACACACACAGTTAGAACCGGGTAAATAACTGAATCTGAAATGAGTATAAGAAAAGAAAATGCTTAGGAGGAGATGAAACCTTGGCACGACGAAAGAGAGCAGCCGAGGCGTCGAGCGAGCTGAACTGCAGCTGAATCTTCACAAAACTGGAGTGAGGAGGCGAGCTGACCGGGATGGAAAACAGATGGAGGCAGAAACAACTGGCTGCTCAACAAAATGATGGCAGCGGTTAAATGCAAGAAAAAGAATAGGGTCCTGAACACATGCCTTCTTAAATTCGATCAAGGTTTTATCGGTACAGAGTAATGAAGCTTGTCAACATAATTTGTTTTATTCTAATATATGAGAAGCATGATACAAGCGCATGCATAGATTAAGAAAAACATCAATGACACACACTAGTGAGAGGCAAACGTGCCGAGAGATTGCTGACTATTAGATCATAATCTATTTACAACATGTAAAATTAGCATTTTACCTTATAAAATTCAGGCTAACCAACTTACCAAGCTAGGAAAGCAAAAGGCATACAATGCATATAATCTATGGAATACCGAGGCAAGCAATAGGATGAACCTGTCTTTGGTGAGGTCTGAATCTATACCTATTTACAGTGTTACTGCACCGAGTCCGTAAATCTCGCAAACTTGGCTGCACAAATATTATAGGTGTCATTATTTTCTCTCAGCCAATGTATAGCAGCAGATTCCCAACTCGAGCCTGCCACTCTTCAAAATAAAAATCACATCCTACCATACCTCAGAGTCTGTGGTAAACAACACCAGCTCGGACGGCGTCCATTAGCAGCTGGTCTTTGTCTTCTTCAGCTGAAAGTAATGGTGAAGCAGATGACGAGCCAGCGCGTGAGGCCACGCCCTGTTCCTTCCCCCGCTGGTCTCACTCGCCCAATTCCCTCCCCCTGCTGGGCTTGCCGGTTTATTCAGAAAAATAAGAAAGGAACCACAACACTTGCACAATATTGCATAGATGGGAAGAAAGAGAGAGTGATAGAGATCAGGAGCAAAGTGTGAGAAGGACGCAGAGAAGCTCACTTTGGCATCACCGACGGCGCTGCCACCTCGACCTGAGAGTACCTCTCCGTCTGGATCCCTACACCCCCACCTCGGGCCATTGTCCTGCAGTCTTGCCAGCCCCAACTCGACCTGTGAGCGGCTCATCCATCCGTGGGCAGGAGAAGACGCTGCCGCCTCGGCCCGTCGCCTTGTAGCCTCGCCCGCCCCCACGGCCAGATGCGCTGTTGCACGGGGAGAGAGGAGGAAAGACAAGGGTGGCGGCGGCAGCTGGAGAGGATGAACGGGGGGAGGAGAGGTGGCGGCTAGGGTTGTGCCCCGACCTTAGATGCGGGCTGGAGGAGGACGGGGATTGGTGGATGAGTCGTCGAGGATCCCCGCGGTTAAAATTTTATCACCCAAGACGCATGCGACGCACACACAGCACGCACACTGCCAAACCAGACCCGCGAAAGACGAAGGCCCACCCGTCATCTGCCTAAGCAAGAAACATCAGCGTGGAAAGAAACAAGCCGTGGGATTGTTGACAGCACGGTGAAAAACCTCCAGCGAGGCAGATCGAGTGAAAGAGATCGCTCGCGCGTCGCGAGTGCCTCAGGTGGGCGGGTTGCCTAGCATCCTTTATACTAGACTGGATCGGGATCGCGCCCTGCCGGTCCCAACATTTTGGTAAAGCAAGTAGTGGTGCCGGTCCCAACATTTTGGTAAAGCAAGTAGTGCTAAGTTAGTAAAAATCTACGTTTAGCGTATGAAACATGATAACAAACTAAAGTGAAGAAGAAACATTCGTTTGTGATAAAACATAATGGAGTTCAATATCGACATGAAATTATAAGGCAATGTTGAGTTCAGCATGTACATAAGACCACAAAAGATAACCACTCATCATTAAGTTTGGTACCAAAATCATTAATATAGGATAGGAAGGACTGAAAGTAGGCACATAATGCAGAGCCCATGCTTTTAGCAGAGAGAACGATTATCTTTGACATAGAACTTGTACTTGTGGATTAGTAGGTGATATGAGCATGCCGCAGTATAGTACATGTGGGTTAGTAGGTGATATGAACTTGTACATTGTGGAATTTTACCTTCGCTGTCAGTATAGTAGCTCAAAGCTTGACGCATCAAGTTTGGCAAAAAGGAATGGATCAAAAGCAATGTGGTATAATAAATCAGAATTAGAGCAAGCCATTTATATAGAAAGCAGCACACTCCATATGTCATTCATAATAATTAGGTCATTTGTACATACAGATACTGAAGGCTGAGTAGTGCATTAGAGGGTAGCTGTACAGTACAGAATACATGTCTCATTACTTTGGACAGAAGTGTAGAAAAGCATAATCACACTGATTTGTTCTGTGAGTACATCCTTCGACGGTAAATGGCTCTACGAATTCCAAGATGATCCAACATGATATAAAGAATGATCCTGGCCGAGATTCTCACAATAGTATGGTCAACCTGAGTCGTCAGAAATGGTTTAGAGACAACATAAGTAAGTGGTTGAAATGTATAAACAGTAAAAGAAAGTACATGTGCAGGACAATAGACCAATTCCAATTGGATTTCTTGTAGAAACAAACATGATACAAATCCTACAAAGCAAGTTGATAATTTTCATCAAACCTTGATAGGTGGACGAACCCAATAAGAACTAAAAACTTTGGCACCATATTCTGCTACGTTTCTTTAATTCTTTTCAACATGAGAATGCAAGAAATTCATTTCCTTGTGAAACCTCATACGTTAATGGATACCCCATGGAGTCAATCCAGAGATATGGCATGTATCACCATCAAGCTAGCACACACAGTTCATCTATGAAATCTACTCCTATAAACTAAATCAAGCTAGCATACGCAGTTCATATCCAAATAGGATTACATCTCTTGGGTTCTAGTTACCCAAATCCAACCATAGATCCTCACAAGCGAGGTGGGGGGCATAGAAGAGCAAAAGGAGCTTACTTGCAAGAAGAAGTCAGACTCCAGGGTCGCGCAAGTGCTAGACATGCCATCACAAGCACCATTACGGCTCTTGATCCAGATCCCCTCCTTCACCGTATGATGCCACTTGAAAATAGACCATTTTCCTGGGTGGGAAAAAGCATGGCTCATAGGCATTGTGGAGGCTCCATCCTTTACACAAAGGTGTAGAAAAGGCAACTCATCTCCAAACAAAATAACTTGAAATAATTCTTTCTTTGGAACTGCTTAATTTAAATGCATGCAGCTCTTTATTTGTTTAGGATGTATGCAAGAATTTCTAGTAAGTTCTACATGGAAAGAACTGAACACAACTTGACAGCAAGACAATCTCATGTTTAAGTTGAAGTTGAAATTGTATGCTCAATATTTATGAAATTGGATGCTCAATATGTGTCTAACCATATCTATCACGGGCCTTTGTCACAGAAACAGGGTAAGTAATCGAGTAGGAATACCACATCACCATGTGTCAGCAGTTTTATTTATTTTCATAATAAATACACCATCACCAAGGAACATACTCAGTTTTGAAGCAATGTGTATATCCTATTATAATGTTTGGTAACTGATCATAAACACTAAGGAGCAAAGCAAGTGTGCACGAGTCCTTTTTAGTATACAGAACATCATCCTAGCATTAGAAGCAAGAAAAAAAATCACCTGCCGCCTGAGCTCTGATTTTCACATGCCTAAAACATGCAATTCATATATAAACCCAAAACAATATAATGATACATTTATAAAACTCTCTGCAGTTCATGTATAAACCAAAATCAATATAGTGATGCATTCCTAAAACCCGTTGCAATTGATGTATAAACCTTGAAGGAGTATTGTAGTTTTTTCCTAAACACGTATCTAGCAAGAAAGCAGACGGGCCCACAGCGTCCTGCCGACGCTGCCGGACCAAGGACCCATGTGTCTCCCGCCCCCATAAACCAGGCCATGCACCACAGGTCCTGCACCGCGCCAGATCTAGCCGGGCAAACGCCTGCCGGCCACCACCAAAGCAGGGGAAGACCCCGCAGCCGCCGCAAATCACCGTGCCACCGGGGGGTGAACCTGGAACCCCGACGGAGTCGAGATGAAGGCGGCAAAGCTCCGACAAATGTCCATCACATGATAAATAAAGAAAAAAACAAATTAGCGGATCTTCTACGCATATCCACTGCTATAGATTCAAATAACACTAATCGGAAAGCAAGGATGTAGCTTTACAGGACCAACCAGTAGCTAAGAAATCAGGGGCTAAACAATTATTTTGTCTAAGAGCTAGTACATACTACAGAATGAATACTGCAGCAAGAATTAATAGAACACTTGACCAGTCCAACCAAATTAATAGGTTATAATACTACACCATGTCTTGACCAGCTCCAAACTAAATTCTATTTGGATTCTGTGTAAACGAAGCCTAGTTATACTACTACAATAACCTAGAACCACTAAAGCACCCACACAAACATTCACAGTATCCTCATCTTGATGAAAGCAAAAATGTATCATATAGCACGCACACACACAAATAGTCACAGTATCCTCATCTATGAAAGCGAAAATGCATCATATAGCACGCACGCACACAAACAGTCACATTATCCTCATCTTGCTGAAAGCAAAAAATGTAAATACATACCTTGACCTGGAACGGTATGGTCCAGTCTCAGTTGACAGTCTTGATGATTCATGTTGGCCTTTAGATATGTTTTTGAACAACAATTTTTCTTGCTGCTTGTAGAAGACAACATCCTTCACATAACCACCATCTAAGCACTCCGCCAATGGAAGGCCATCAGTGATACAGGCTATCACTGTCAGCTTCACCATTTCAAAAAGATAACAAGAGACAAGCAAAAGTGCCACCTGCACAAAAAAGCAGAGGAGAGCTAGTAAATACTTGTAACATGTTCACTTCAGTATAGAGGATCCTACTTATCCAATGACCCATATATCTCAAACAGAACAGATTAATATCTCAGGCAACAGTGAATATCTAGCATGTTCTCCAAAGTTACAGAATATAACAGGTTCAGAGACTGTCAAGATCAAACAATAACGAGGTATTTTGTAGCCACATGGCAAAGCTAATAAAATTTCTTCTAATTTAAATCTCAGACATCTCACTGAAATAAATAATTTGATACATAACTGAAACTGAACTCTAACCTTTTGTTGTTTAGTTGTCTTCTAATGACTATCAACACAGGTATAACTAAAACTTCGAAAGCTTAATGTTAACTAGATTAGAACTTTCGAAGTGTAACACCATATTGAGCAAGACTAAGGTAAAAGCAAGAAAGATTAAAATTGATTACCACAATTACACAAAGAGAAGTATTTTTCCTTTTTCAGGCAACCAAATCTAACTCAATGTATGGTATGTATTTGTTATTAAATATTTAATCAGCAAAGTCTTGAGAGAGAGAGAGGGGGGAACTTACCAGTTGAAGGGGCCACAGGAGTGAGGGGTGAGGAGACGCTCGGAAGTGGCACCGCTAGCCAGCAGCACCTCAAAGGCCGAAGCCAATCGACTGGACTCCTGATGCTCACCAGCCTGCACTTGGTCCTCTTGCCTGTGACACTGTATAGCAGAAACACATAAAATTGATCACACAGAGCTTAGAGCAAGTTTCTTCTTGCAAAAATAAGAGAGCATATTCCTAACACACATAACCAATGTTATTCATTCACACCTCATTATACTTCCTTGTATAGTCGTATGTGTATATGGTTTCACTATGTGGTTTGATACACTGAGACTTCACCTCCAATTCAAGCATAAGCATATGAAAAATGGTATAGTGAACCTGAGTTTGATTTTTTGAAGCTTGGAGACTTAAATATTTGAATAAGAGAACATAAAAAAAATCTACTGAGTAATCCTCTATGGAGATCATATTATCTTTCTGGAGGAAGTACAAAGAAATGGATTGTGGAGGGATAACCTCAACATGCAAATAGTATCACTTTGAGAAAAAAATTCTAGAATCCCTTGAAACAATCACGTGAGTGTGGTGCATGCGTATAGCTTACCTTAGCGACATGAGGAAGAGGCAGTCAGAAAAACGCACAGTTGCTCTCCTTCTTCCAACTTTCCTCTTCAGCTTGCCTCTTTTTGTAAGTACTGCCCTGGTCCTGGGGAGAAAAAATTAAGCATTTACTGTAATAACCTATGTAAATTTCTTCATTCCAAAGAACAAACAAATGTTATCTTCTTCATTTGCTCATAGAAACTGAGGGGCATGTTTAGAGCCATTGGAAACAGAAGCAAATATATTTGAATTATATTCAGTTGAAAACAGGAGGACGGGTAGCTTCCACAATTTTCTAAAGCTAGCAACATAGAAAAGGGCCAGCCACCGCTTGTATGTTACCGCTGAATAAATCTAAAAGTTTTTAATATAGAAGGTTCAAGCACCTTTTTTCACACATTAGTTTGGCCATATTTAACCAGTACTAATGCAAAGAGCGTAGCTATTGCAAACCAAATGGAACATGAGATCGCAAGACTGAACCTGCTGCCGGACGGCGGCAAGGATGTCAGCGTCCACCCAACAAATCTCTCTATGAATCTTCTCCATCAGCGGCTCGACCACCAAGAACGACGCCTCTGCCAAGCCACACAAAAACATAACCAATGATAAAATCCTGAACAGCGAAGTTCAAAAGAGCACATTGCAATTACATGTAAACAACAAATAGATGGAGCTAATATCAATTTCAGGAATATTTTTGCAACAAAGTCTAGTCATGCACAACACTGCCAAATATAAGATGCTTATGGCGTCTAGCGACTCATGCACTTTGATCAAACAGAGACAAAATTGCAAGGCGGAAGATGAAGTGATGACTGCAAACTTAACCAAAAGGTTTACTGCAGAAAGAGGAGCGAGACAGATATATGCTGAATAAGTGAATCTGGTATTTCATACATTACACAACAATATGTAATAACTCATGCTGCCTAATTAATCACATTGTCAATTTAAGGTACTGCATGCCTTTCTTTTGCTTCATATGAACTGACCAGCTCCACACAAAAAAAGGAAAACTCAACACAAACATTAGACTTGGTAAGCCACAACCCATGCCTAAATGATAAATATTAAATTAGAAAATGTACATGGAAAGGCATAAATAAAGGAATGAGAAAAGAAAAGCACCTGCAATAGGACCGTTGACAAAAATCATAACTATCGAGACAACCACAACAACGACAGATCCCAGCAGTCCGACAGTCAAGAGCATGAGCAGACGACAACCATCAACAGAAAAATGTTGGATCCAACAGCAAACCCTAACCCATCCCTACACAGAGCAAAAGCAATAGAACAATAAAATGCCTAGATGTGCAGCAGGACATCCAACAGATGCATATAGTACCAACTCACAGCAAACATCCTATCAGCTGTCAGGCTCAAAGGTTCTAAACATGTCTTATATATTCTAAACCTTTACCTGCTATGATCCACCATATGGTGCTGCAAATACTAAAAAACATATTAATAAATGATTTGTACATCATGATTACTACATAGTTACTAAATTCTTAAATTTGTCTCCATTTCTAATTAGAATATGATACTACTCTGATATGCCTCCTGATTGTGATGATACTGAAAACTAAACTAAAGGATATGCAGAAGAAGCCAAATAATAAAACCATGGTGATTACCATAGGGAGAAGGCACTTCGACCCTGTAATCTTAAATATTGGGATGAAGAGGCTAAACTAAAGTATTTCTGCGTAATTAGTTGCCACCAAGAAGAGGCTAAATCACACGGCCCTAACCAAACCATGTTCCGGCCGCAATCAGATCAAGCAATCTCTAACAAAGAATGTACGCAAGCAGCACCATGACGGGAATCAGTGTAATCTCTCTAGGGGTGCTATAACTGCTACTCTGCCTCTGTTTTCAGCAAATGGAGCTAAGATATTTTCAGCAAATGGAGCTAAGATATTTTCTGTCCATGCCTAGAGAGGTTAGTGGAGGGGATGCGGCGATGGCGAGGGGCAAGCTCAGCCACTTCCGGAAGTTGGATCAATTTCTAGACAATTTATATTGACATGACCATATACGTATTACAACTTCACAGAAAATTTATTCAGAATAAATATTGGTTCACATAAGGTCCTTTCAGGCTGTTAAGTTGACTATGGGCAGGGTTGAGAGTTGACACTTGAGACTACACGCACCAAAATAACATCAAAACTGTGCTTACTTTTCACTGGTTTCTGTCAGGCCTGATATGGCGTACTCTGCAAACATTTGCAATAAAACACCTGGGGGCAATTCAGAAGCTTTGTCATAGCTGAGAGACACATCAAAGTCCTTAGTATATTTGATGGACCTGAACAACTGTAGACAACAGACAAATAAAAAGCTTGCTCAGATATATATTTTCAAACAACGGGCAAAGTTTGTCGACAAGTAAGAGATTGACTAATATCCTTCTTAACCTTTATTGGCATCTTTTTCATCCTTGGAACCAGTACTTGATCAGTACTTTCATCTTTGACAAAATCTGGGCCATCTATTTCAAACACGAAACCATAAGTAGAACTGTCAATCATCCCCAACTTGCGGTTCAACTTAATCCCATCACTTAGATTAGCAGCATGTCGTGAGGCGCCAAGAACAATTGCTTCATCAGCATCAAGGTGCTTATCTAGCTCACTCCATCCCAGGAATTCCTGCAGCTTAGCCTGGAACAGTGGAATACAAATGTGCCTCGTGAGTCAAAATGTGAAAAATAAAAAAAACAATGAGATTCAAGATAATAATAAATGGTACAGATAGATAAGGCATGTAACTCTATTCCATAAGTAAATGAAGTCCTCTGTATGACTAACAACAGTTTATAAACTCCATCCCAAATACTGAATTCTGTTCACGATGAAACCTTCTTACGAGAGAAAAGGTGTAACAAGAAGCAGGCAATCACATGCACCCAAGTTCTAAAATCAGTTTAGTTTATATGAGCATACACAGAAAGTTTCAGAAATTCAACAATGCAACAGTCCTGCATTCCATTACAGCCCCTCAATGGCAAGTCAAGTATAAGTCTTGAATGAGGGAGTAATAATCACCTGCAGTTTCGGTACCCTGGTAGCTCCTCGAATTAGCTCTACAGCATATACGTCACCAATTTTCATGCCTGAATGCGTGAGCACATCTTTGATTGGAGACAGAGCCTGCTCCCATAAATATGCACAAAGCTCTTCAAATTTTTCACGTGTTATGCTGCTTCTGTAATAAACAACATGTCGGTCAGCATGTAAAACCTTGATTTTTTTTCCTAACCATGATTTAGGATTAAAGGTGCGCTCTATGCTGAGAAAAACTGAAGGAAAGCTGAAAGCATGAGCTGGGGTAAAAGATCAATAATCACAGAACAAAGCAGTAAGGAATAAGGACATCAATGGCCAATGGGTCTACGGAAAATACCAACAATGGCATGTTAAGAAGCCGGTATAATCTTGCAAGTTCCACATAATCATGAATATGCAATGAAAATGGATGCAGAACTTCAATGTAGCAGAAACTATCCACAAGAGATATGCAAAAGCAGTACCAAAACACATTTTATTCAATTGATACTGCATATACGCACTTTAAAGGAGACAAAGAAATCAACTTGATCTATCAAAGGTCAGACCATTTGGCAAATATGAAATAATAGGGCCTGTCATCCATGCTACTCCAGATTATGTTTGGTTGCAAGCAAGAGGTCCATGTGTTCAGAATCGATCCAGGACATAAGATGGATCTTTTAAGTTTCATATAAAAAGGTCATCCAAAGATTATGCATGTACCAAAGGACACACCTGAAATCGGTATCATTATAGAGAGATTCAACTGAGATTGGAGCAGGGGTATATGCGCTCAGAATTTCTTTGGTGCGCTTGACTTGCTTCTTCAACTTAGCCATTGCTTTAGGAGACTGACAGATGTATGCTTATTAAATTGATCTGCGGAATAGTTTACCAAACGCATTTCCATTTCAAGGCCTCCCAGTTTGGAGTTCCATCTGACATCCTTAACGTGCGGAGGAATTAGCTAAAAGCATTAGCACTAGATGCCTATTCAAGATAGCGGCTAAAATTTCATGTTTTTTCAGATCTACAGTCATCTAGCATGTGAAAGCAGTAGTAACAACTTTTTCTTCAGAGATCTTACAAACAGACATATGAGTTTAAGCAGAACTGAACAGCTAAAGGAGCTGGAGAGGTGAGAATTTTACCTGGAACTCGTTGACACACACCATCTTCCCGAACTCCTTGGCGCTGTAGGACGAACTGCAGCGCGGCCCCGGCGTGTTCGTTGACGAGCGCCAGGACGTTGAACCCGGCGAGCTGGGCCGCCTGCGTGAGGGCCCGGCGCTCGGCCTGGCCGAAATAGGGCGGCACGGCGACGACGGCGTCACGCACGGAAGGCCAACGTGCGCATCGGCGATCCCCGAGGCATAGTGGAGCACCATGGCGATGGTCTCGTCGACGGTGTTGGACCTGGCCGTCGTCGGCGCGGACGGCATCGGTGCCACGGGCGTCGTGGACGAGGTCACAACGGAGGAAGAGCGAGTCGGCGATGGCCCGCGCGTAGAGGATGGACTTGGCGAGGAGGTCGCGCACGCGGGAGAATACCTTGGTCGGGCGGCGCGCGGTGATGCCGACCGTAAATGTAGCGGGGCTGGCGAGACGGGCAGCGGGACGGACGGGGCGGGGCTGGCGAGGCCGCGGGGCATCGGCCACTGCGAGCGGGACGGGCGAGGCGGGACGGCGGGGTCGTGGTCATCGGCCACGGCCACGGCGAGCGGGGCGGCGGGGCGGGGTGGGCGAGGCGGCGGGGCGGGGCAGGGCGGGCGAGGCGGCGGGGCGGGGCAGGGCGGGCGAGGGAGTGCCGGGAGAGGAGGAGGCTAGGGTTCACCACGCGAGCCGGCCCTTTTATACCCCCACCACGCGAAATGACCAAAATGCCCTGGTGGGGGCATGGTATTTACATTCTGTTGCCATTACTATTCATTCCAGCAGTGTTTTTTCCAGATCCAACGGCCCAGATTTATCCAAACGTCAATCCAACGGATGAAAACGCATCAAGGGACCCGATCCAACGGCCCAGAATCGCTGATCTCTGTGGAGCCTTGTAGGAACATCCTTTTCTTATCTCTTGATGTTCCATGCCTTGTAGGAACATCCTTCTCTTATCTCTTGAATCCAAACGTCGATCCAACTGACGAAAACGCATCAAGGGACCCGATCCAACGGCCCAGAATCGCTGATCTCTGTGGAGCCTTGTAGGAACATCCTTCTCTTATCTCTTGATGTTCCATGCCTATTAAGGGCATCTCCAACGTTGACTCTCAAACCGCCCGCATACGTCTGGACCGTGTGTTGCGCTATCTAACGCGGGCCTGTATCGGTCCGAACGCATTTTATCTAAAAACAACGTCGGATAGCATCCACGTAGGACTCCAACACCCCTGGCCCACTAAATCCCCACCTCGGTCCTATTTTCTTCCATTTCGCTCCTTCTCCCCCCTTACTTTGCATCTTCACTGATGTAGGGTGGAAACCCTAAGGCCGATCTTTCACGAAATGGAGAGAATCCTACAAAAAACACGAGGGAAAGACACTCAAATCAACGAGAACAATCACACATGTGCTAGATCCATGAATATAAAGAGTGATACAAGATCGAAACACAATAAATGACGATATAAGAGACGGTAGTTCTTCTCCGTGAGGAGATCTTGAGGAGTCTTCCCGTTAGGGGTCTTGAATCCACTTGGGGGATCTTCTCCGTAGAGGTCGCGGTCTCTGAAGGAGAAAGTATCAAGTGGATGAGCAAAGCTCTATCTCCAAAATGAGCTATAACATTGTCGACCCTAGAAAGAGGGAGGAGGAGGAGTATATATAGTCTAGGGTCACGAAAGGGTACATGGGCCTCGGTCCAACACGCTGTGCACAGACAGGCGTTGGTCGTCCGACAGCTACCGGACGTCCGGTGGCTCGTGAGGGTCCGGTCGTCCGGCTGGTGTCGGACGTCCGGCGTTTTGGCTCTGATCAGGTGGCGTCGGATTTCCGATGGACGTCGGACGTCCGGAGGCTTCAGACTTCCGATAATTTCCATTTTGTTGTGTGACACCGGTCGTCCGGAGGGGCTCGGTCGTCCGGGCGCTGGGAGGTGTCGGACGTCCAGTCGCTGGAGTCCTCGTTGGCTGGTCCTTGGGTTGTCTAGTTGACGCTCCACGCGTCGAACATCCGGTCCAGGCCGGTCGTCCGGTGGCTGTAGGCTCCTGGCAGCTCCTTCTCTTGGTCCTTGTACTTGGCGTCCTCGCGAGCTCGTCCATTGGATGTAGTTGTCGCGTTGCTTCCCTCTAAGTACTTGATCACACATACGGTTTCCTCTTGAGGTAGTAGCCATGTCTCACATGTAGAAAGTGGTAGTTCGGAGAGGAGCGAGTTCACCTTAGTTTCGATAGACTTTGCTCGAGCTATTGTCATTGGTCCAAGTGGTGTCGTGGGAGACGTAGGTAGGTCCATGGGGATGACCATGGGATGCTCCGCATCATCTTTCCCCCCTGAGAAAGATCCGACCTCGGATCAAAAGCCTCATCACCATGGTATGGAGAGAGATCCTTGACACTGAAAATGTCACTCATGAAGTACTTATCTCGTGGTAGGTCGATCTTGTACGCATTGTTGTTGTAGCGCTCGAGCACCTTGAATGGTCCGTCAGCTCATGGTCGTAGCTCGGACTTGCGTTCATTGGGGAAGCGTTCCTTGTGAAGGTGCATCCATACAAGATCTCCAATGTTTTATATCATGGGTTGCTTGTTGATGTTGAGCTTGGTCGCGAGTCATTAAACTTGGTGCTCAATGGTGTGCCTTGTATCTTCATGCATCTTCTTGAGGTAGCTCACGGGTGCACTTGCATCCATGTTGATTCGCTCTTGTAGTGGTAGAGGTAGAATGTCCAATGGGGACAACGGGTTGAAGTCGTAGATGACCTCGAAGGGGGACTTGCCAGTAGTAGTCTCCTACGCGGTTGTAGGCATACTCGGCGATGGGTAGGCACTCCTCCCACTCCTTGATGTTCTTCTTGATCAACACGCATAGGAGAGTGGAGAGCGTCCGGTTCGTGATCAACACGCATAGGAGAGTGGAGAGCATTATCTCCGCCCTCATGACTTGGGGATACATAGTTTGTTAGCTCTCATAAGATAATCATCTTTGATGTAATAATGTTCCCAAGATGTATACATCAAACATTTGGCATATGTGATAGCAAAAGTAGGATCATGCGCATACAAGTCTTTTATGTGCTCAAAGCCAATGACATTCAATTCAAGTTGGGTAACAAGCATGCATCTATGGGAAAGCACATCCGCCACGACATTCTCTTTGCCTTTGATATACTTGCTGACATAAGGAAAAGACTCAATGAATTCACACCACTTAGCATGACGCTTGTTCAACTTAGTTTGACACTTAAGATACTTAAGTGTTTCATGATCCGTGTGAAGAATGAACTCATGAGGGCGGAGATAATGCTCCCAAACATGCAAGACTCTCACTAAAGCATATAGCTCTTTGTCATAGATGGGGTAGTTAAGGAAAGTTTTTCACTAAAGTAAGCTATGGGGCGCTTCTCTTGCATTAACACACCTCCTATGCCATAACCGCTAGCATCGCAATGGATCTCAAAAGGTTTATTAAAGTTGGGTAATGCAAGCAAAGGGGCATGTGTAAGCAAATTCTTAAGCTCATTGAATGCGGTATCTTGTTGTGGTCCCCAAATAAATGGTTCGTTTTTCTTACTCAAGGCATGCAAAGGTAAAGCAATGGTGCTAAAATCCTTCACAAAACGACGATAAAATCCGGCTAAGCCAAGAAAACTACACACTTGTTTCAAGTTTGTTGGTTGGGGCCAAATTTTAATAGCTTCAATCTTAGATTCATCTACGTGAACACCCTTAGAATACACAACGAAACCCAAGAAAACAAGCTTATCAACACCAAAAAGGCATTTGTCCATATTAGCATAAAGGCGCTCTTTTCTAAGAGTTTGCAAAATGGTTCTAAGATGGGTCACATGATCTTTGATAGATTTGCTAAAAACAAGAATATCATCAAAATAGACCACAACAAATACACCAATGTAAGGGCGAAGAACAAAATGCATCACATGCATAAAGGTGTCGGGTGCTTCGAATAAGCCCATAGGCATGACTAACCATTCATACAAGCCAAACTTGGTTTTGAAAGCGGTTTTTCATTCATCACCTTCTTGGATGTGTATTTGATAGTAGCCACTTTTAAGATAAATTTTAGAGAAAATTGTGGCTCCACTAAGTTTGTCTAGCATGTCATCAAGGCGTGGACTGGGGTAGCGACAATGAACAGTGGTAGCATTGATAGGACGACAATTAGAACACATGCGATATGTACCATCTTTCTTTGGAACAAGGATTACCGGGACAAAACATGGGCTCAAGCTTTCTTGTACATGGACGTTGTCGATGAGTTGTTGAAGTTGCCGTTGGATCTCCCTAGTTTCCTCGGGGTTGACGCGGTATGGATCCTTGTTAGGAAGAGGTGCTCCGGGGATGAGGTCGTTACGGTGTTTGATGCCTCGAAGAGGAGGTAGACCCGGAGGTAGCTCGTCGGGGAATACATATTTGAATTCCTGCAATAGAGAAGACAAGACTAAAGGTAGATTGTGAGAGGTGTTAGTCCTTGCCACTTCATCCTTGCACAAAAGGACATAGTGCATAACACTTGATGGGTTCTCACACACTTCTCTCATCTCACTTTTGGTAGCGAATAGAACTAAGTTTTTCTTGTCATTCATCGTGGAGGCACTCAATTTGGGCTTGTGGAACTCACTCTCTTTTTGGTGGTTCGCTCTCTCATTATTCTCTCCATGATG